ATCTAATTTACATCATTTTTGACTTACACAAGAGGCACTCGATCAGCCAAGACATGTTTCGTGTCCAAATATTTTTTCTTTAGTTCTTTAGCGCTGGAGCTACATGTATCTAACAAACACTTGAAGTCAATAGTCACCCAAATCTTTATGCTCCAACTGCTTCTGGCTCTTTATCAAGGTTGTACAGACTTGTTGATGTGGTTTGGGAGACTTATTGTGAGCTATAAAAGTGAACAAAACTTCACCGTGTAGCTGAATGTGGCACAGTACTTGTTATCTAGAACACAGCGAAGTTTTGTTTGTGTTTATTCTCACAGTTAGTCATACTGTGTCCTAAACCACACTGACAAGCCTGTGCCTCCTTAATAAAGAGCTGTGTGTAATGTGAGCAGGTTGAGCGATGATTTGAGGATGTATTTGCAAAAAAGATTTGGGTGACTATTGCCTTCTAGCGTTTGTTAGCAATGTTAGCTCCATCGCTAAACTAAAGAAGCAAAATCCAGACACCAAACATGTTTTGTATGAATTTAAAAATGGGTACGTTGCTTTTAGTGAAGTGCTTCGAATCATTTTTAAGCAGTTTCTAAAGAAACAACATCGGCTCAGTATCAGTATCAACCGATATACTTTTGGTATCGGAATCGGAAAAGGATTGACAGTTTGCCATCTCTGTATGTAATATGAATAAGTAAATTAATAAAGTATTAATGTTTTCAGTGCAGAAACGTCTGGGCTATGTTCCTCATGTGGGTCCAAAGTGCGTTCTGGCATTTTTTTGCTTTTGCAATCGTGGCCTGCATGGCCAAGAATGACCACTAGAAGTATGTGTTGAGGGGTCAGATCTGTTGAGGCAACTTTCACGGCTCTGCTTTCTGTCCTAAAAAGAGACAGACTCCATATAAAGTCATGAAGAACCAGCCCACATACCAGAGACTCTTTCTAAGCGCAGCGCAGGCCATTTCCTCCGCAGGGCCTTATTGATTCGGACCATCTCCGCAATCCGTCACTCCAGTTATTCCGTGTTTTTTTCCCGTCTGTGTCATGCACTGTGCATTAAACAAATCTCATTAGCTTTGCCATTACCGGCCGGCTCCATAGCTGCCCATAGAGCACAATGCTATCGACTCACTGACTGGTGCTTGTTTTCAGTAGATGTTCTAGTTAGATATGTGTTTACGTTGAGGATTTGGAGCTTTAAACCAGGCATGAATATGCCAGCGCACACTCTGCTGTCTAAGGAGAACCAGAAAGTGGAATGTGGTCAGAAAGTGTCAGAGCGTCTTTGTGCTGACGCTACACTCAGCTAGAGAGACAGAATGTGAAGAGTATGTGTGAGTCTCACTGCGCTGGCTTTTTTTGCATAAAGATGTGGAGGAATGTGGAGATGAAGTGCAACATACTGTCACAGCTCACATAAAGAAATTCAGAATTTCAGAATAATTAAATAGCTGAGATGTAAACAGAGTCATTCAGAGTGGTTTGGTGTGAAATGGTTCAGATGTCTTTCCAGTGGTGGTGATAGGAACCAGGGGTCGCCATGACTACAACACAAATATAGACATTTTATTTACTATCCAGAACCACCAATGAACCTACACGAGTCTTCTGAGCTTATATGGAGAGTTGATGATGGAAAATAGTGGAAAATCTGAAAAAAATAGGTTTTCTTTGGGGACTATTTTGCCTCACAACGCCCTGCATGTATCCCTCCACCATTAAATATTTACGGATCACTCTGTTGAGTTGGTTCAAAGTCAGAGTTGAAAACACATTTCAGTCTTTTACCTGATGTGGACTAAAGTAGACTGAAATCCTTTTTCTTTGAGTGACCCTAAACCTTAATTATGTTTATTTTAATAAAACAAATGATTGAACATTCAATGTTGTCACTACCAAATCAATCATAACACTACCAAACTTTACCAAGTGTTTCATTAGTGACTGTTTCAGTAGTGGCAATCTTAGCTCATTTTGCTGGCTGGTACATGACCAGCAAACACAGCTTTGAACAGCTGTTCACACAGAAAATCACCATATTTTTCATTAGAACACTAAAAAATACATAATTGCAGAAAATATGTGACAATCCTTAATGTTTCACACTGATTTTCAGACTTTTGGACACATTTATTTCAAAACAATGGGATCTAACTGCTCACCATGTGGCCATGAGGGACAGGGATGCAGCCTCACTTCATGCTCTAAAATGCAGAGGTGTGGCTAAAATAAGGCTCCGCCCACAGACTCAAATTCTGTGTTTGGTAGTGACATGAAAACATGGGACGGCATTTTTCGAATATTTTTTTTTCCAATTAAAAATTAAACTTGTGATAAATCTAAAATTTTCAACTTCAAATCAAAAAGAGAAAAACATTTAAGTTTTATTTTCACAAGTTGAAATTTAGAGGTTAGAGTTTGGGACAGACACCTCCCAAAAGAAATTACCTTAAAAATGATTAATTTATATATATTTAGCTCAATTAATGCCCTGAATTTAAAT